TGTGTTTGTGTGTGTGTGAGTGTGTGTGTGTGAGTGTGTGCGAGAGAGATTGTGTGTGTGTGTGAGTGTGTGTGTGTGAGTGTGTGTGAGAGAGATTGTGTGTATGTGTGTGTGTGTGTGTGTGTGAGTGTGTGTGAGAGAGATTGTGTGTGTGTGTGTGTGTGTGTGTGAGTGTGTGTGTGTGAGTGTGTGTGAGAGAGATTGTGTGTGTGTTTGTGTGTGTGTGAGTATGTGTGTGTGTGTGTGTGTGAGTGTGTGTGAGAGAGATTGTGTGTGGGTTGTGTGTGTTTGTGTGTGTGTGAGTATGTGTGTGTTGTGTGTGTGTATGTGTACATACAATGTAGAAAATCTTCTCTGGTTTTTGGCTCTGAGGGTAAAATCATGTGAACTGCTGAAACTGTGGAAAAAGAAAATGAAACGTTTTCATTTAAATACAACTTTCTAACAAGGATGGAGATCAGACACTTTACCAAAAGCAATCTCTTTGTTCTCTCTCTTAAATAATTTCAATATTATTTATTAAATCATAGCCACAGAGCTTGCATACAAATTGCATAACAGTTTCTGAATGAATAATAGTAACTACTAAATAATTTATGTTTTTATATATTACTGAATTATTTAATTTGTGTAAGCCTGTGTGTGTGGGTGTGTGTGTGTGTGTGTGTGTGTGTGTGTGTGTGTGTGTGTGTGTAGGTGGGTGGTCAGTTGGGTGGGTGAGTTGTAGAATATTGAGAACTGTTAGTGTATAAGTAGACTGTTAGTAATAAAGATACTGTGCAGGTACATTTTTCATTTATCAAGGTATAAACAATGTAAATGTAACTCAAAGGTACAACAGTGGTTTTAAGGTCCAGTTGTGTACCTTACATTTGTTTTTCCCAGTTGAAAAGTTCGTATTTGTACCTTTTCATAACCGAATGTTTTAAACAGAACAGTAAAATAAAAGCCTGGAGACGAGACGGGGTGTGTGGAGTCAGTACAGCTTAGAACATATCATTTCAGTGGATTATGGTTCAGTTATGATCCCTGACTAAAGGTACTGAGATGAACCCTTGAGGGTCCCACCCCAGTGACAGGAGGGGCACTGCCCCGGTTACAGTTTACTACCTTTATTTCTGAGAGTGTAGAATTCAGCAGTCAGAGTTAGAGAGGAATGTTAGATCATTAGTGTGTAAATGTGAAATCTTATGTCTGACTTTTACTCTGAACGAGATGTTCATCATTGTGTTTCGCAGCAGGAAGCTCCTCTTACCACGTGGAGAGATTTTACTGAATTCCTGCTTGCAGAATTCCTCTAGTCTCTCTTTCAGATCAGAGAGCGATTTCCTCACTCCATCAAATGAAAGACGTTGATGGACAGTGATGCTGGGTGAGTCCTCAGATCCAGAAGAGGCACAGAGAGACTGGAAACTCTACAGAGAGAGAAACATAATGGACAGAGAAAATAATGTACAAGGGGAAAGTCTTAAAGGCTGGTCAGCTTTTTTGTTTAATTCATTTTTTTGCTGTTATATATCGGGTCCTGTATGAACTGATTACAAATACAATTTCAATTACAAAACAATTCTTATAATTTTGTGTTTCTTCTGTTTTATTTAAGAGAGCGTTGTAAACTTATATAAACGGGTTATATAAGGCTGAGCACAGGGCCTACACCAAAGACTCTTTAGTTCTTAAAAATTCTTATCCTTCAAACTGTAAAATGTTATTGAGGATTAAAATATTATCTTGCATCACTCTTGCCTCCTGAGTCTTTCTGGCAGAAATGCTTTGAACTGTTTTGCTGTTAGTGGAGAATCTGCCAGCCTTTCTAGCAAGAATGCCATCTCTGAGTTCGATGTGCTGGGCATCTCTGGGAGAGGAAGACAACAGAATGTATCACCATTTTCCTTTTCACACCCTGTCCTCTATTATGTGGTACTGATATGCTGACAAGGTCAATGCCCAGCGCTGAATCCTGGTAAAGACCATTGGAAAGTGAAAGGGTGTGCATATAGATACTGACAAAAAAAGAATACTCCTAGCCCTTCTTTCTCAAGCTGTGAGTAGCCCCTTTTCTGAAGAAAAACTGCAGTGACTCACATAAGTCATACTCGGAGCTTGAAATAAAGGATATAGGGTGTGTGTCGACCTTTGAGGCCTGGTTTATTGTCCATTCAGAGTCCCCACATATCCTTACTGGGCCATCCTCTTTCATAACTGGCACTACTGGGGCTGCCAGTTAGAAAAGTCCATTGGCTCAGTGATACCTAATGTCTGGAGTCTCTCCAGTTCTGCCTCCACCTTGACTCTTCCTCATGCTCACCTTGCATGTGATGTGCATTCATTTTAGGCTTTACTTTGACATGGCCTGTTTCTAATTTTTCTCAGTATCTCTGCACTTTTTATCTATGGGTCACTTTTTCTGTCAGTGTCTTTAAAACCACAGTCACCAACAAAGTGTGGACCCCCACAACGGTAACCTTCCACTGGTGTGAAGGACATGTCTGACTTCCTTTTTGTTACACGATGCACCTGATGATGCCACTCGTCTGGCCATGCGTATGTCTTGTGTTAGTAGCCACTGACTCCATGGATTATACAATCTAAAGCGCATTTGTGAAAGTCAGTGTGGTTTCTCTGAACAACCGATGCTGCATACTGTCATCATTTATAACACAGACTACATTGCCGTGCAGTATGTCCCTTAACACTGTTCCATATTATCAGTCCTCAGAGGGCTGCTGTCGTCCTAGAATGCAATCTTCCTTGGGTTGCCAAATTCCGACATGCTATACTGTCAGTGCCAAAGAAGTCAGTCCCAGCTTGGAGAGTGTAAAGTAAAGACAAATACAAATTTATTTAGATTTGCTGAGATTTCTAGTATTTTATTTCTCAGTGCTGGTGCTGTTAGGGCTGCGTCTTCAGGGCTTCAGTCCTGAATACTCAGATGCTCCAAACAGGCTGTCCAGCCTAGAGCTGTTGCTACAATGTGCTTTTCTTACCCAGTGTTCTTACTTTAAATGTTACATTACACCACAGCAAACCAAGTACCCATGAGCCCCCCTCTAAACCCCCTCTGACATCACACTGAGTGTGAAGTCACTGTGGAGTGAAGGCCTGGAGAGGGAGAGGCAAGACAGTAGAGTGCTCTCATTGTAATTTGTTCCCTCACTGGTTCTAACATCAAGCGCTAGAACACTTCACTCTGTATCACCACTACACTACACTACAGTACAGTAATACTCATTTCTGCTAGCATTCTATTGGCTATGCAGTGTTAAGTCAGTGCCAGGCTAACGGTGGTGTACATTACCTTTCCCACATTGGGTAAAACACTGATGGCAGCTCTAGTTTAAACTCTGACATTTGAAGCCTGTAATGTGCTTTATTGTGTATGTTTTAGTGTTTCAGTAAATCCTTCAGTAAATACTTCAACTTGAAGCCTCACTCTTAACACTGGAGGAGGCTTTAGTACAGTATGCTTCACTTTACTTAGAGCGGACAAATACAATTTACGAGCTCTTATAATTTGTTATGAACAGTACTTATAATACATTATATTAATTCATAATGCATAATAAGCGTAGCTAAAAGGTGTAATGCACCATAAATATTTACAGCTATGTTTATGACGCCTCATGAATGCATTATGACATGTTATGAATGTGTTTCTAAATGCTTACAAACATCACATTCATAGAAAGTGCTACCAACATAGCCATTCTTTATTTGCTGACATGTCACAGTTAAATTCTGCATACCAGATAGCAGTTTACTACTTTTCTCACCAATTAGAATCAGAACCATTTGCTTTCCTTTTCCATGTTCTAGAGTGACACAAACCAGTGCTTCTTTAGTTGAGACCGAAAGACCACTAGTGAATGCGCTAGCAAGCATTTTGAACATTTTATAAGCTATAGCACATTGAACTTAATTTTATTTAAATATCTGTTCCCTTAATAATTCATTTTTGCCACGTCCACGTCTTTGGGGTACCCTGACAATTTAGGAAATGCTAACAGGGTTTGAGCTGCCAACCCTAGCAGTGCTCTAAAAGCCTCTTGTTGACACAACATGCACAACATGAAACATCAATGTTTGTTCACATACCTGTAGTATCAGTTAGATTTTCAGATTGTTACCTGGAGGAAATGGATGTGATCCTCTGTGTGCAAAAGCTGCTCCAGCTCTGTGTTTCTCCTCTTTAGATCAGCGATCTCCTGCTCCAGTTTCTCCAGAAGTTCTTCAGCTCCACTCAGTTCAGCCTCCTCCTGAGCTCTGATCAGCTCTGTTAGCTCAGAGCGCTTTTTCTCAATGGAGCAGATCAGTTCAGTCCAGATCCTCTCAGTGTCCTCCACTGCTGTCTGTGCAGAGCTCTGTTACAACATACACACACAAGATGGAGCTCCATTTAAACAACAGCTATCATTCACTCTCTCACTGGGACTCTAGATGACTCACTGTCCCCATTGTGGCTGTGTAGGATCCCAAAGTGTCCAACACTGGACTCCTCACTGACTCCACTGGCTCCAGCAGATCTCTGCTCACTACTCACCTTAAGAGTCTTCACAGCCTGTTTTAGCTCCTGCAGCTTCTCCTCTTTCTCCTGGAGTCTCTGCTGGAATTTAATCTGTATCTCCTTCAGGTGGTTCTGAGGAGAAAGAATTTGTATTCTGGTTTATATTGACAGCAGCTGAACAAGTTCACTCTTGTTCTATCGGTTAGCATATGGGGGCGTATGGGAAATATGGGCGTTGGCTGGTGAAAGATTTGCTGACCGGTTTGACTTGTTTAAAATTTCTTTACCCAAACATATTTTCATATTCATTATCATATAAAGTGATCAATGTACAACTGTGTAGTTAAATAATGTATCAATTTTAGTCCAAAGTACAGAGGACATGAATGGATACTAAAATATGTTTTACTTCTCACCTGTTTCTCTTTTCTTTCTGCTACAGCTGCAACTGTATCATGGCCTTGGTGTTCATCCATTGTACACAAATAACAAACAAACTCTTGGTCAGTACGACAGTAGATCTCGATCAGTTTATCATGTTGAGAGCAGATCTTCTCTTGTAGCTGTTTGGAGGCTTCGACCAGCTTGTGTTTTTTCAAGCCAGGAACAACATAGTGAGGTTCAAGATGAGTTTCACAGAAAGAGGCCAGACACATCAGACAGGACTTGATGGCTTTGCGTTTTCTCCCAGTGCAGAAATCGCACTCCACATCTCCAGGTCCAGCGTAACAGTGAGCAGGAGGAGCAGCTTGGAGTTCTGTCTTCTTCAGTTTCTCCAACATTTCAGCTATAAAGTGGTTTCTGCGTAGAACAGGCCTCGGGGTGAAGGTCTCTCTGCACTGGGGGCAGCTGTAGACCCCCCTCTGATCCTCCTGATCCCAGCAGCCATTAATACACACCAAACAGAAACTGTGTCCACAGGGAACGGTCACCGGATCCTTCAGCAGATCCAGACAGACTGGACAGCTGAACTGGTCCCGACCTACTGAAATACTGGCCTCTGCCATTCTCCTGCACTCACAGTCTGAGAGAGAGCAGCTCTCTGAGATCAGTATCGTTTTCTCTGAAATTAAGGAGCAGCAGAGTGGGCGTGGCTACACACGGTCACTTGAATAATTATTTTTTCATTAAAAGCTCAATATCTACAGACATTCTAACTCAGAATTTAGAAATTAGTGTAACAATTATTAGTGTTTCTTCTACTCTATACTTTATCAGAGACACAATCCATGCAAGGAAAAAATATATCTGGATTATAAAAGTACAGAAAACTGTATTTGTGATGTTACTATAGATTTAACTTAGTCAGTTTGGTGTATGAGGTTTGGATACTTAAAAGACAAAGATTTATAAACAGGAACTGTTTCTATAATTAAGAAAATAACTGGTGAATAAAGTTTGACACTCCAGATATGGTGTGATGAGTGTCCATGCTTTGTAGCACAATGATAATGCAGTACTCTACATCACCACAAAAGGGCAGCACAGCACTGCTGTCAAAAATGTCGGAGGATAAAGAGTCTTTTATTTTTTAAAGGAATTCAGTGAATTGTGCATTTTCTTCACATTTGTCCTGATGTAGAATCTTCATGTGCTTCTCCTTGTAGGGAGCGGTTTACTAGGTTTTATCTAGAGCCTTACTGGCTGGAGGGGAACCTGTGGCTGAAATCCAAAGAACAATCTCCAAAAGCCACTGAGACACACTGTTGGCTGAGGAGGGGGACAAGAGCACCACCAAGCATGAAGATGAGACCATCACTCTGAATAATCCCGTTTCACCAGGTGCAAAGAGAGAGCAGCTTCACACAAGATCACAAAGAGGACGACCATCTGAGAAGCGGAGAGCTACATGTCCTGGTACTCATGTGATCAGAGAAGGCCTCAACATTTTTTGGTCTTTTCCACTGAAACTCATGTTCAGACAACTCTCAGGTGGATCTGATCTACTCATAAAAGGCTTCTGCATAAACTTTTGGAGTCCATGGCAGCTCAAGTGTCATTAAAACAAAACAGGAACGTACTGTACCAAATACTCAGAAATTCTGAAACTCATGTTTAAATTTGATGTAATTCTACTTTTCACTCAATTTGTTATGCTGATGATCTAATTTGTAATGAAAAACTTTGTACTAAATAAGCAAGAAAAGCACAATGGCATTTAGACTTTTGGACTCCAATGTATGTTTTCATATTTTGTAACAAGACCAATTAATGAAGTTCTTCACCTAAGTGATCAATGTGTTTTAACCTTATACAGGAAAAATACCTGCATGTATTTAGTGTATACATTATATTTTTCATGGAAAGCAAAACTTTTTTTTTCAATAAAACAAAATATATTTCATTACAGTTTTTCTTCATGTAAAGCATTTTTAAACAATGGTACCAAAACCATTTTTACTGATTTCTTTTTATTTTATTGCACGCCAAATGTACATTAAATCAATGGAACTCTAGCTACTATAAAGCTGTAAGAGTTTGTAGCTCAGTATGATTAGAATACAGAATTCTTATACTTTTCCTCAAAGCACAGTTTATCACTGCACACAGACATTTTCAGTTCTGTTACTGAAAAGACTTTAGACTCAGCATCTTAGTTTCTTTAAGGCTCAAACAGCTGAGACAACCAATTCCCCCAGGAAGCTGAGGGAATGGGGTCTGAACATTTTCACAACATGAAAATTACAATGTAAATGACATATTGAATCGTGCAACAAGGTAACCATGATATACAAAATACACATCATTTTGGATCACACAACCTCACAGTTCCACCACTATCCCCAAACCAACCATGAACCCAGAATCCAGCTTTGAGAGGCTGAGTGAATGTGGTGTGGACTGTGTGTAGGAGGGTCACTGTGTCAGAGACGCTGTAGAAGGACAGTTCCTACACTGTGATCCGCATACACTCCTATTCTGGAGGAAGATGAGGCTGAGATCTTAGTCTGAATGCTGTTGTGATAGAAAGAGAGAGAGGGAGACCACTGCAGACTCCGGGACTGACTGTTGTGTCCAAACCTGCACTCATTACCCCGTCCTTTCCTGCTGATACCTTTATATGAAGCTGATATGTACAGCTCCCATCCCCAGATACTGCTCCACTCAGCCTCCCAGTAACATCGTCCACTCACACTCTCTTTACTCAACACCTGATACCAGCAGTCAAATCTCTCTGGATAATTAGAGTAAAGCTGGACTGTCCCACTGTTCGTCACCACTCTGTACTTCTCAGACAGACTGAGGTACTGATTCACTGTGTTGGGATCCAGAGTCAGATGACAGAAATCTAACAAAGAGGACAGGAAATATAAATATTTCAGAGTGAGAGGCTAATAATGTTTCATTCAACTCATATTTCTATTATTTTAGAAAATTCTTAATCATTGATCAAAAGAATAACATTCATATTAATATGTTTGCGTGTGTATTTTGTGTGTATGTGTTTGTATGTGTGCGTTTGTGTGTGAATGTTCTTGTTCTTCTATTCTGGTGGGGACTTTGACCTCAATGCACACGGACCCATGGGGACTCCTGTCACTGAGGTCCCCACGGGCAAAGCCCCACCGATAGGTTCAAAACAGTATTTGCCACACCCCCTGCAATTTTCTAGGAAGTCCCCAGGACAACCGTTTTCAAGAGAAAAATCTGTGTGTGTGTAGCTATGCGCCCCTAGAGGTCACACACGGTATTACAGTCCCCACGAGGTTTCGTGTTCTGGAAGTGTGCGTCGCTTTTTGTTCACTTTTGTTCACTCTCTAGCGCCCTCTCTGGACAAAAGTAGTATTAAAGTTTGGTAAATATATTTTAAACTTTGTGTGTTTGTGACCACAGATAGACATTAATTTTCTAATAAATGTATGTGAAAAATAACATTAATCATATTTTATTTCATATTTGTAAATTCACAGATATAAAGTATTGCCTTTTGTTACACCTGAGTCTTTTTAAACCTTTCATCTCAACCTCTCAGTTACCTCCTATTTCTTTTTGTTATTAAGTATCATTTAGTTAAATAAACTATACATACAACAAACAAACTAACTAATTTATTAATTAATTAATGCATTTTTATACAATTTAGACGTATTTAAGGGTGTACTATTCATTCGGATGTTAAATATTAGACTAGCTTTTATGTAAATCCATGTTTTATTTCCTTTCATACACTTTTAATTTTATTTTATCTCACGTTAACTTTTCCATCTTTATTGGTTGTTTTATTTTTTCCATTAAACACTTTGTATGTACTATTTAAGAAAGGTGTTAAAACTACTACTACTACTACTACTAATAAATATAGCCGCAAACACTTTGAGCTTAGACCCCTTATAATAATAATAATAATAATAATAATAATAACTAACAACATTTTACCATATGGCAGACTGGAATCCTATCAGAGAAGTGGCACAGTGCCCTGAACAGACTGCTATTTTGTGAAAACAATTGGTTTTATAACAATTAAACCTCTGTGATGATCTTTAACATCTTATCCATAAACTAGCAAATAATGACTCCACCTGCTAAAATCTAAAATGAAAGAATGATGGTTTTGTGAGGCCGTTGGAAGTGTTGTGACTGACGGAACCCATTTACAGCAGCTCTACTCTGTCATGTAGTATTCCACATATGCACAAAATTGTAGCTTAATAAACATAAACATTATACTGCATTAAGTGTCAGTTCTTCAGTTTTGATTGACATCAACTATCCTATAAGCTAGCTAGCTGTAAATCTGGCTGTACAGGTACCGGAATGTAGCTGCTGCACCATTTAAGGTGGAAAAGGAAATGTAAGTAGGAAGCCACAGTCTAGCTAGCTATGAAATATATTCTTAGTATTGTCTTATGCATCTGTGGCAGTCGCAGTACACAGTACAAACAAGGGTGGAAAGAAACAAGCACAATATTCCCTTTTCTGGGTCGAGATGGGTGCTGGAGCGTATCCCTTCAGGCGGAAGGCAGGAAACCTCCATGACCAGAAGGATAAGAGGCTTAGAAGATGGATGGATGGATGAAAATTCCCTTTTTTCCCACTGTCTCATTAACATTCCATCCTGACATAGGAAAAGCCAGTTAGCTACACCAGTTAGCTACATCAAACCCAGCATCAAAACACCAAAACCAACACAAAAAACAAGACAAACCAAGAGATTTGGTAACATATGCAAGGTCAATCAAAGCAAAACTGAAGAGAGAGGCTGACAAAAGATGCCTCATCTTCATAATGTTGAAATCAACATAATTAAACAAAACTCACTAACTACACCAAATATCAACTGCCATGTATGTAAATCACATGAAAATCAACTGCAATGTAACTGTTGTATGGGTGAAAGTTGGGTGATGTCTGAGAACTGATACTAATGCTCTGTAATACAGGTGAACCGAGCTAAAGCTAGTTAGCCATTACATTTTTGTCACTGGGAAAAATGCTAAAATTGCTATCGTGATGCTACACATAACTGATTTGATGGCTCGGTGCCAAAAGGTCATTATGCCACCTGTTTTGTAATATAAGACTCTAACATCGTAATTTCCACAGTACCAGACCACCGAATGACAATAAAAATGTCTGTAGGTGTTTAAGGCAAGCACATCTGTGCAGATCACATGTTTTTAGCCCCTCCCAACAGCTAGTTAGAGTTCCTGACCACCTAGGGGTCCAGCGCTCTAATATGTTATCGAGCACCTCTCCCGGGTCCCCATGTCAAATGAGTCCTTAAACAGAATGAGTCCTTGAAGCCAAACGGCATGCCCAGGACTTTCTGTGCCAAAACACTAAGTTCTGGCTGGTGATCCTAGGTTCAAGGGTCAAGTGGTTATGGGCCCTTTTCACAAAGAGTCGTGATTACTTCCAGTTTAAGTGTTAGCAGGGTAAAACTCACTTCTCCATATTATTACTATTAACTCACTATTACTGGATCCAAATTTGGTGATCCTAGCATGAAAGCTTGTGGGGATACGGCTCTCTGAACAGTTATGTTTAAGGCAAGATAAGTTACGGTGTAGCTCCGTAAGACAATGTCACACAAGCACCAAACTCACCAACCTTTGCCATCTCCCCAGGATGCTACACATATCCAAATTTGGTGGACCTAGGGTAAAATATCAAGGAGATACTTCCTTATCCATACGGCAGCTGTTATTTGGGCCCTATTGTGCAAGGTACATATTGTACAAGGTCTAGCGAGGCAGAGGAAAGTCATAGACACACCAAACTTCACTCACCCACTTGGCTGGTAACAATATCCAAATTTTGTTACCCTAGGCCCAAAGGAATGAGTTGGGGTCTTATAAATCATAAGTCAGTAGACACTTGTGGAAGACACTTAAGTTGGGAGGCCTGGAGAGGCAGAGCAAGGTCATAGAGCCACCAAACGTAGCACACGTTGTCATCCCTGGGAATAACCATATCAGAATTTGATGATTTTAGGGTCAAAAGTCAGTTAGATGTGGCCTTATCCATACTGCAGCTATAATTTGGGACCTAATCAGTAAGTGGGCGAAATGTATTTTACGAGGTTTAGCAAGGCAGGGGAAGGTTGTAGAGACCAAACTTGGAAAACGTAGACGAGGCCTTAGGGCAATGGATTAGAGTTGGAGGGCCGTAAGTCAAACACAGAGGCCCCAAACCTGGTCCACTTAGACTAAGCCTTAGTGGGATGGAATATCTTGAGTTTTAAGGTTCTAGGTCAAAAGGTCAGTGTACAGCGACCCTTTACATTTGATCAAATAGGCAATGCTTTTGTATAGGAAAGGCCATAACTAACATTTCAGGGGCTTAGAGACCAGCCGTGTGACACAGAGGCCCCAAACCTGGTCCACTTAGACTAGGCCTTAGGGGGATGGAGTATGTTGAGTTTTAAGGTCCTAGGCCAAAAGGTCAGCAAATGGTGACCCTTTAAATGTGATCAAATAGGCATTGCTTTTGTATAAGAAAGGCCATAACTAACATTTCAGGGGCTTAGAGACCAGCCGTGTGATGTAAGGGCTTCAAATTTGGCTTTTGTGGACAAGGCCTCAGGGAGATGGGGTACACTGCGTCTGAAGGCCCAAAGTTATTTTTGGTGATCCTAGGTTCAAAGGTGAAGGAGCTACAGGCCTTAAAGCACTCAGGGCTCAGGCCTATGGTGGTGACTTGGCAAGACGTACGTTCAAAGGTCCAGCGAAGTGGGGTGAGTTAGTAGATCCACCAAACTAGCATACTTTCTCATCCCATCAATCCCATCCCCCCATATCTGAATTTGGTGGTCCTAGGCCAAAAGCTCATTAGGATATGACCCCTGGATGGACTGGTTATACGCTGCTGTGGTAATATCAGATGCTAACAGTGTAATCTGCCACAGTACCAACACACCAAACCACATTAAAAAATGTATAGGAGCTGAAGACGAACGCGTCTGCGCAGGATACCACCACTTCAAAACAATTTTAGAGGAAAAATAACTTTTACTGTTCATCATGAGGGCTTGTAAATAGTTGTTTCCTTTCTATGAATATCATAATATATGGATAAAACATATACATGGATGATATCATGTTTTACCCATTTGTAAGTATCTCAATTCTTTCAGTTTATGTATTTTTATTATTTATTTATTCTGATACTGCTTATAGGCCATTTTTGATTGCTTACATAACATATTCAGGCATGTCTTTATATTTATGTAATAATAACTTAATTAGAAATGCGTCTCATTTGAGTAGATACGTTTCCACTTAGCCGGTATTCGAGTCGTCCTTTCAGCCAGTCTGAGTAACACGTTACACACAGATCCTGACTCTTACGGTCCCCGCCGCTCCCGTTACCGGTAAGGCGTCTTTAAAAAGCGTGAGGATTGTACCGCATGGGGGCGCAGTATCTCCCGGCACTCTGGAGGCCTGTTCGGACGGAGGTAGGGCTCCATGAGGAGGTGGTAATGCCAGGTTATCATAGGACGTCTGTGATGTTTGTAAGTGATTCGTACTGGATAAGAAATCTCGGCATGAAGGACAGAGATGGAGCGGCCACTCGATTTACGCACCGCCTTCACGCCAGAAAAGAGTAGAAAACATGTTAAAACGTTTTTATTTGTTTATTTCGTTTACTCTAACCTTTTACATGTCTTACACTTTCAGTCTGAAGTGAATGTACTGCGTCATTAGTATCGCCATTAGCTGGGAATTCACAGCAAACGGTGAACTTCACCGCATACAATCAAACCTTTTCTGTAATGTTTACATGCTCTGAGTTGTTGTACACGTGAGGCAGGACAGTAGGGTTAGCTTGACTGACAGCTTAATGTTGTCCTCAGAGAGCAACGAGGCTGAAGCGTTTCGCCAGCTGCTCGTTCAGATTTTCCCGTTCCACCTTAAATGGCGCAGCAGTTACATTCTGGCGCCCCCGGCGTTATAATGACTGCTGCACCATTTAAGGTGGAACGGGAAAATTCGAATATGAAGCTGACTAAAGCTTCTTCACACACCGCAAGGAAGCGCTTCTCCGTTTCCCGGGATATGAGAGCGTTTTCCCGACATGTCGGTTCGCGCAGGATTAATGTAATGTGTTTACTGACGCGGGAGCGCGCAGCGGTACAAACACTGACAGGGCGCGTTCAGACGGACCGCAATCACTGAGAAACGCCGGTACAAATTCAGTCCCCCGCCTCCTAATGTAGAACTGATCCCGTCCCGATAGGGCTTATGATGTATGAAAAACTACTGTTAAATATTGAATACTTCTATCAGTAGTGTAATTGATTATTGGGGATGACTATTGGTGCTTTCATAAGAAATTACACATCAGAAAACACTGAGAAATGACCCATTGTTATTGTGGGTCATCTAATATTGAGAATAGTTTTATAAGTTAAGAAAAAACATTTCTTTATTATAATGAAGCCTTTAAGAACAGAAAATGGCATTTAGGCTTAGTCAAAATATTCTGACAACCAGCATCCCAGACAATATCTAGATGTGTAGATTCATGTCACAGTGCTAATTACATCAATACATTGCCGAATTCTACCACTGCAGCTTGAAATACAGTGTAATGTGATATGTTGGGCCTTGAAGTTTGACTGACTGTATTGTGCTTACAGGAGGATGGCCCGAGTTTTGCATCCACTGGTGGCAGCTCTGAATGCACAGGTGAGAAAGGGGAGATGTAATTTTAAATGTAAGAAGTCATGATTACTGCATTTCATTAATGCTCCTACCGTGTCGGTACACTCTGTGTTGGAATTGGTCAGTACGCAGATTTGGATGCCAGGGCATAGCACAATATAACTTAAACTATACATTTCCTCATGGTTGTACTGAAGAAAAAAAAAAGGATATGATAAATTGTTGAAGTAGGTAATTATATTGCTACGTGTAGTGAAAATGTACATTTCATAAACCCTTAGTTTTCCTTTATTTAAATACTTGGCGGAAAATGTAGATTAATCTTTTAGTTTGTATTGAATTCATTACATTTACCTTACATTTAAAAATTATAATATAAAAAATAAATATTTTTACATGCATTCATTGTCGGTAAAAAATTATCTAATGTTTTCTCAAAATTTTCTCAAACGTATAATTATCGGAGATATGAAGCTGCCCAGAAATTGAACAAGAGCAGATACCAGCATCTTGTGCTGTTTAACTGCAGTTTCTGTGGACAGCCTGCTGTCACTGTAAGTCAGTACACTGAATATGGTTGTATTTCTATCAACTATGAAGCAAATTAACATTTTCATCTTCATCTTCTGTGATTTAGTTGCAGTTGCTGATGTGACAGATGGCTTTGATTCTGACCAGAAGAACAAGGTAGGATATGTCGTCTTCTTTGGGTTCTTAAACACAACACGTATTGTTTGTTTTTGCTAATGACCACATTAAACTGTTTGAAGACAAGTTTATTACACCATGACACCCCTGTCTGTAGTTTACTGAAGTTATGTGGTGGATAGCAGGGCTCCCCAGTGGCTCACCTGGTACCACATGTATCATGTACGATAAATCTAAGTCCTAGTGACAGCAGCCCAGGTTCAGCTCTGTCTGGGGCCCTTTGCTGCTTGTTGTTTTCTCTATCTGCTCTGTCCTTACGGTCTCCCAACACTTTGCTATATAATAAAGCATAAATGCTAAAAAATCAGCGATTTGGCTGCACAGTTATGAAATTTTTTAAATATAGTTTTCTGTGATATGCAGACTCCAAGTCGTCACTTGCGACGCCTCCAGAGACTCAAAACACATCATGATGTGTGTGAGAACCGCTATGAAAAGGCAAACAAAAAGGATAAACGACGAGTGGGAGAGTACCTTGTTTTTACATCGTAGCCTGAATACAATGGTTAGTGGTACTAAACCTTTTTATAATGTACATTGGAGTGACAGGAGGGAGATCCTTTAACTGTTTCCCTGTCATGATGTGCTCTTTTCTGTGTTTGATTAGTAAACACTCTGTGCCCCAGAGATAATCTAGTCTAGAATTGACCAGTACAACTGTGGTGTAAAAGTGTTTAATCTGGACCTGGTCCAGTGTGGTTTAGATGAGGGAAAAATCTGTGAAATCTCCTTTTTTGGTTGAAAGTGGGTTTCAGACAGCATTAAGGCTTTACCTAAAATGTCTAACACACTTTGACAGCGGTAAGAGCAGCAAAAAAACAGGATCGGTCATTCAGCACCGCAAGTTAAGTTAACTCTCCCCTTACCTGCTGGCTCGGAAACTAACTTCGTCACATGATTTTTACTGTTTCGCTTCTTCTGTTCAAGAAAATTGAGCATGTCAGTGTGTTCTGGTGACAGTCGGCTTTCCAGATCTGCTGTAGAGAAAACTGTCAAGGAGAGAGTGGCTAATGTTCGGCTAGTGCTGACTGAATGTGCTAGACAGGCTAGTGTTCTAGTGGTCTTTCCACCCTGAAAGAAGAGTATTATAGTAAGAGAATAAGTGTGAAAAATGGAAGAGATGCATCCCTAACTACAAAAATTGCTGCAACTCAAGTATTTGCCGATCTGTATTGTAGCAAAAGATTCAGTGTTTTCATTTATAGTGGACTTGAAATATTTTTACTGTTAAAAAATTGTGTTATGATATTTATTTTTCAGGAAGTACCCCAGAGCTCCAGTGACAGTGAGGGTACCATTATCCTTGACCGTACACCAGTTGATATTGACAAGGACACAAGTGTACCTGAGCTCAGAAGAACTGACAGTGTAATTGTGAGTTTACATGCAAAACTTCACGTTAACATAAGTGCTATGGCATCTGTGTGACTGCTGTCGTCGCCACCTAGACCTGGAGTACAGTTTATACTTTAGGAGATAGTAGCCTATCTTGTTTAGAGCCATTTACACTACCCTTCATCTTCAAAAGGTGCGAAGGATAACATTAATTGAGACATTAAAGCTTCTGGGCAAAGCTAATTCATCCATGTAAAAATTACATCTGCAATTTACATTAAAATGACAGTTTAATTTTTTACCACTGATAAGAAAAAAAATAACCATTATTATTTACCAGTAGTGTGAATACGAAGAAGAATCTAAAATTTTACAGTTTACTCCAAACTGAAATACAGTGTTTGTAAACAGTAGCATGGACCTTTTAAGTTTTTTAAAGATGTTTAAAACGAACCTAAACAACACAACAACTGAGTGTGCCACCACAGCTATAATGTCAGCCTTTTGGAAACACTAATAGCAAGTCCAGTCAGAGTCATCTAGTAATGTTTTGGTAAATGGAAAAGACATTATTTTATATGGCTAGACTTGTTTAAAAGAAATGATAACAGATAAACAAGACTTGACTGGTAGACTGTGTCGGCTGGTCCACCATGTCATTAGACAGTTTGCACTATAAGAAAGAAATACTGTTGAGTCTCACATCAATACCGCAACCACTGTTATATGAAGTCAGATCAGTCTCAATATCGCACAGAAGGAATCAAACGTGTTTTAGAGCTTATATGTAAATGACTCTTCACTATATTATTTTTCAATGCACACAAGAATATTTACCATTGTATATAAATGTAAAACAAAATCACATGAAAAAATAAAGTTCACAAACGTATTTCTGATGCACACACAAATATTTGTTGTTTTAAACACGTAATAAAAATCTACAAATATTTATATAAAAGTGCAGTTTTCATCAAAAAATATATTTAGATGTTTATATACAAACTTTTGAACGTGCATTTAAAAAACTGCTTGTCATTTGTGAAGTTCATTGCATTTGTATGTGGACTTTTTGAGACTCCCTTATGTAGCTCAATTCACAGATACACTTTTGTTCAACAGGAATTATCTGTATCCAATCAGGTGTCTCCTTCCTTTTTAGCTAATCACATGAGTGTAGATTCAAGGGTAGGCTCTAATGTGATCATAGCATTACATCGACACAGTCTGCGATTATGAATGACAGGATGCGTTATGCTAAAGTTTGCTGCGCGATTTAAAAAAACTAAGCACTGCTTTGAATGTTTCACTTTAGGCAAGCACTCAAGGATTCCTATGAAAATTTAGCTGTTTCTAGTTTTAATCTTTAAGTTTTAATCTTGTCTTTAATTCTGTGATTTAACAAAATACTTAACAATCAAGACTTGAAAAGTCTATTTTTTTTTTTAGCTTGACAGACAAATGCTTGGATATGCAACAGAACAATCATTATCAAGTTGTGAGGTCAGCGAGGATGAGTATGGTCATCAGTCTTCTGAACAAACCGAGAGTGACAGTTCAGCAAATGCCAAACAGCAAAAAAGGAAAGAAGAGAAAGGTACGGAAAACAACTTCAGCGTACTCTCAGGAAGAAGATGTCCAACCCTGTAAAAGAAGGCGTATGACACCTCCACAACTTCTTCCCTTTGCTGAAGATGTGAAAAAAATGCACCAGTATCTCAACATACAAAGAAAGGAGTGGCAAACAAAACCTGAAGAAGAACCCATTAAGAAGCATTGGGCAGAACTTGCAAAAACCACACTTTGTGAAGTGATCATTTTTAATCGTAGAAGAGAAGGAGAAGTTTCCAAGATGTCCCTTAATGCGTTTACTCTGAGAGATTCCTCAATGACTCATCCAGATGTGGAGCATGCTTTATCTGACTTTGAGAAGAAACTCTGTAACCACTTCCAGCGAATAGAGATAAAAGGCAAACGTGGGCGAAAGGTGCCCGTTCTCCTCACGCCTGATATGCTGGTGTCGATGGAGTTACTTGTCAAGACTCGACGGAAGTGCGATGTGCCTGATGAGAATCAGTTCATGTTTGGGAGACCACAAGCTCTCAGTCACTTCAGAGGATCCGATGTTATTCGTCAGATAGCTCGAAGCTGTGGTGCAAACCACCCAGAAGCATTATCCTCCACTAAATTGAGAAAGCATGTGGCCACTGTGTCCAAGAGTCTCAACTTAAAGGACAATGAAATGGATGACCTTGCTGACTTCCTTGGCCACGATATCAGAGTGCATCGCCAGTTTTACAGGCTGCCCGAGGGCACGTTACAGCTAGCGAAGATAAGTAAAGTCCTTATGGCTCTGGAACGAGGACAGCTGTCTGAGTTTAAAGGAAGAAATCTGGATGAGATCAACGTTGATCAACAAGGTAAAAGAGGCCTGTATAAATAACTAAATTTATTAACATAGTGAATTTTTGGGTAGCTGAGCAAAAGAGATTTGATAAAGAGAATTGCTAAAAAAATGTCAGTACTTTGAATTCTCCAGTGTGGTGTTTTGAGCAGCAGATGACACATGATGGGCGGAACTCCCATTGGTGGAGAGTAGCTAAGGCAGTCTACCTTCTATCATCATGTAGGGACACGCTCGTATTAGTTGCGCAGCCCCAGCTACAGGATAGTTTATCCATATGATTGCTGTGTTTCCTCAGAGAAAATGGCCATGGACAGTGATGCATCAGACACTGAAGATGAGGAAGACATGACCGGGAAGGATGCTATGCCGCCTTCATCTCCACCTTCATCTTCACTATCGTCAGGTACGCGGGCAACTATTGAGAGGGAATAATAGTAAAACTAGAAAAAGGCTAATATTCTGATGAACATTTTTTGTGTGCTTATTGATTTTTGGGAGTTCCAGGTATTGGTATGTTTCAGGGTGGATATGCTGTGGTCGCTGTGGTGTTGCGGTTGGTAACTAGGGAGGTTTTATGTGGTTGCTAGTGTTGCTAAGCAGTTGCTAATGTGTTCTAAGTGGTTCCTAGAGTGTTTGTAGGCAGTTGCTATGGTGTGGTGTAGAAGGTTGCTAGGGGGTTGCGGGACGGTTGTTATGGTGTTTGTGTTTACATATTACGTATACATAAGATTAATAAAACCATACTGATATACAATTGTTATGTTAGGGGCTCACAAACAGCATAAAAGCACACACCAATGAAAAACTCACATACAATTTCATTAAAATGCTAACTTTTCCATAAATACTATAAATAAGAGCAAGAGTGTAAAGCTGCATTAAAAAAGTAGTGATGGTCCATTTGGCCTTAAAATTGATGAATCAGTGGGAATGAGAGTTTTTGTGAGTTCTCTTGTTGACCAGAGGTGCTCTGAAGCGGCTGCCTGATGGGAGTAGCTGAAAGGAGTGGTGAAGTAGGGGTGTGGGGTCCTTAGTGATGTCTGCCTTTCTTTATTGCATGACTATAAAGGTCTGAGTGTTGGGCTTCAGTGGTGCTGTGAATTTAGTTGTACGCTTGATGATCCTTGAGTTTTTTCTTGCTTTTCTCTGTGAAGAAGTTGAACCAGGATGCAGTGTTGAATGTGCGGACTCATCGATGAGTGACCAGTATATTGCTATTAAAACGGACCATCTGACAATAAAGTTTCAGCCTTCACTGGAGAAATTTTTGGGCCTTTTTGTAGTCCCCGCTTGCACGTTGTGTGAAGGACAGGTGGTGATCGATCTCTGTGTCCGGGGACTTAAAGATCTTGACCTGTCCCTCCATTTGCCCCTCCAGCCTGAGTGGTCCAGAAAGAGGGTGTGGGATATCAGGTGCCTGGCGCCCCCTGCAACACGGCTCTTCCAGGGAGCTCGCTGGACTCGGAGGATGTGGTGTCTAGATACTGCCTGTATGTGGACAGGGAGCGCTTTTGAGTTTGACACAGTGTTTTAGCTCTCTGGTGACCCAGGGCTCGTTATTAGGATAAAGTCTGACCTGATTAGTCCGAATGACACTGCCAGCGCAGAATGACACATATGAGCAGTTGGAGTCACTGAGTGAAAGAACATGTCCCAGTCATTGAGCTCAAAACATCTCCTTAGCGAGTCATTTTCCAAACCTGCATGGTTGTGTTTTTGACTTTGTCTGTATTTCATCAGCAGTAATATTACATTATGGTCTGAGAAACAAATGGAAGTGCAGGACTTTGAGACGTAGGTGCTGGGTGAAGATAGCAAAGTCCTCAGAAGAAATGTCCGGTGTTTCATATCTGAGCACATAACTGACGAACTGAACAAACTGATTGCGTGCACAAAGAAAAACAAATAACAGATAGCAATATGATAACAAAACACGATGAGCCTCAAGCCACAAGTCGCTCAAACAGAGGAACGTCTCTCTCTTCCTTCAGAATCTATAGTGCAGATTAGATTAATAATAATAATAATAATAATAATAAGATAAATAATAAGACGATATATGCAAGACAACTGTTTTTTTTCTTCAGCAATTAGAACCCAGTATATTGCCAAGCAGGTTTTCCATATACATGGAATTTGCCTTTTTATATTGGTGTATAACAATGAACACAGTACGAGAAAAAAACAAATAAAGATGAACTCCAGTACTGCAAGTCAAGAAGCATAAACAGAAAATAGAAAATTGACAGTAACAATATATGTAATAAGAAGGCTATTTAAATGAAAGAGTTGTACAGTTTTGTACAGGATTGTGCAAAATATTGATCAGGGAATGTGCTAAACTTCACAGAATTAAGTTTAAAGAATATTTACAATGCAGGTTAGCTTCCAAGAGGCGTGTGTTAATGTAACGCATTGATTCAGGTGTGTAGACTTTAATGTGTAGAGGGTCGGTGTGTAGGAGTCAGTGTCAGTGGGGGTCCCGGGCCTTATAGATGATCATAAGAAGATGATTCCTATGGTGTGAGGTGTTGATCCTGGTGGATCGCAGCCTCCTGCCGGAGGGGAGTGTCTCAAAACCTTTGTAGAAGTGCAGTATCATTGACTTTGGGAGGTTTGACTTCTTCAGCTGCTGCAGCTGATGGAGCTGAAGCACACTAATAAACAAGTAAAGAAATATGTTGTTTCGATGAAGCATGGACACAATGACTGCTTTCACTGTGTTGAATTCTCATTTATTTAAAGAGAACTATTGTGTTTACAGGGGAGAAAAAGAAATCCACCGCTGGACGAAACAGTAATCCGCATCCAGCCAAAGGTAATAAGAAAACATGAGTATTATGGAAATTTCTGATAGTTTTTCACTTAAAAAGAACACATGCTGTCCAGTGGCAGTACTACTGTAGCCTTTAGTATTTGCATGTATTTTACTTTGCTTTACTTTGCTTTTATCATTTGTATCTCCATTCAGTTTCCCAAACAGTTTTCTTAAAATACAGTGGGAAAATTCTTTTGTGGGCGCTGACAGAAAGTAGAGACAATTTCATTGCATAAGTCCTTTCTTCTCAGTTTTGTTCGTATGTTTTAACAGGGAGGTCACATGAAAAGGTGCAGTTGGTCAGGGAGGTCTCTGGTGAATCACGCACAACAAAATGTAAGCTGTTTAAAGTTCTAGTGGCTTAAGTTGGTCAGTCTCTTCTGGTGTCTGTAAACCATAAAAGTGATGGAGAACAGGTGAATGGAGGCTTGAGAAATGGTAAAAGACGTGGCAGCGGCCGGCAGCTGAGTTGTCTGTAGGAGGGTAAGACTTGGACAGTGTAAACAAACAGCCAACTCGCTAACAGTAAACTGGAGGAGTGAGTGGGTGAGCGAGTGAGGGAGGGAGTGGTGGTGTGTCTGCTGTGCATGCAGGTAAACATGCACAGTACATGTTTAGCTACGTTCCTGATAGCAGCCGGTTCTGGTAGAAGTTCTGGTAGAAGCCTTTCTAACAGAAATCCAGACCCTTTTCTCTTTCATACACTGTATCTGGTAAAAAGCCCAGAAGGTGAACTTCTCCCAGAACCGTCTGCTATCAGGACAGACAGTGGTGCGCTGACTGCCACAGAGCTGGCTGAGCAGTATACACTGTGAATGCAGCTGTACATGTACTGTATATTATGATACACATTTTGTGATAAAAATTAATTATGCAGTTCTAATTTTGGGTGCACACATTTTACTGACTGTAGTGACATGAGTGCGCTGCAGTTTATTCCAAAGAGCAGGTAAATTCGGTTTTCCATTTTAATGCATCTTTAATACTGATACTTGTGTAAATGTTGGGAAACTCTGTCTGTTCATATTTTGTATTGCTGCTGCCATTTCTGGTTTTACTGACACTGATGCTCCAAATACTTCTGCTAGTGCTACTACAGGCTGCTCTGCTAGTACTTTCAGGACTGGGTGCACAGCTGCTATGGTCAGGAACAGTCATTATAGCCCCATTATGAGCTGGTGATGTCACACAGGACATAACCTTTTCCTGTTTATTCCTCGTTTTGAAGAATATTACTGTTTCATTTTATTCAGGGTCCTCACAAACCAAAGGAAAGAAGTGGACGGAAGAAGAAATCCAGGCTGTGGAGAAAAGACTCATGGACTACATCAACGCTAGGAAAGTTCCTGGGAAAACGGAGCGTCTCGAGTGCATTGAGACTTCACCAGTAGCACTTAAAGAGAGGAGTTGGGAGGGGGTGACATTTTATGTAAAAAACCGTATTGACGCTTCAAAGCGAGACTCTGAGAAACAAAGGTAAGCTTTGACATTTTTGCACTATTGCTGTCAGATGGACGATCAAAAAGGCAAAAATTTGGCTGGAGTTCTAAATTTTGTCTGTTCTCTGTAAATTATGTTTGGCATTTATTTTTTGTTTTATAGTTGAGTGTTTTTATTTGCGTAAGAGCAATAGAGACGTCTTGTATTACTTTGTAATATGCAGTCAGGGCCATAAGTATTCGGACTGTGACGCAATATTTTAAATATTACCTCTGTACACCACCTTAGTGGATTTGAAATGAAGCAGTCAGTACATGATTGAAGTGTAGACTTTCAGCTTTAATTCAAGGGGTTTAGTCAAAATGTTGCATTAACCATTTAGGAACTACAGCCATTGTTCCCTCTAGTCCCTACAGTCCCTCTGTTTTTTATAGGCTAAAAAGTAAAAAAAAACAAAATGCCGGATCACAAAACGGTTAAAGTAATATTTTTCAAACCCCTTGAATTAAAGCTGAAAGTCTACACTTCAGTCACATCTTCACTGCTTCATTTTAAATCCATTGAGGTAGAGTACAGACTCAGAATTACAAAAAAAAGTGTCACGGTCCAAATACTTATGGACCTGACTGTATACACTCACTTCATTCAGAGTGGTTTAGGGTAAAATGGTCCAGATGTCTTTATAGTGGTGGTGATAGGAACCAGGGGTCACCATGACTTCAGAGGGGGTTTTCAGTTCGGTTAATGACTGAACTGAAAACCCCCTGCCACACATACTTTACACTTACACACACACACACACCTCTTTTTGATGCTCTACTTGCACTATCTGGAACATTGCTGCTATTACTGTGTTCTACTCAAGTACTGTTTCTACCTCAGTAACTGTTGTGCTCGCATATGTTATAATCTGTCTGCTTACATATCACAGCATGTTAAATATCTCTGCACCTTATTCTCATTACCTCATGCTCAGAAATGAGTGCTGTGTTGGCGCTGCACTGTCCTGTCTGTTTACTGTGTCTAATGTCTGATTTATTTCTCAAACTTATATTGTATTGTTTTTAGTTCAAGTCTGCACGTTTGCACTTTGTCTGTACTGCCTGTTTTGTTCCATGTTGCACCATGTTGGTCCTGGAGGAACCTCATTTGGCCCCACTGTGTACTTGTACACAGATGGAATGAAAATAAAAGCCTCTTGACTTGACTTAACACAACCACCAGTGAACCTACATGAGTCTTCTGAGTTTTATATGGAATGTTGATGATCTGAAATAATAAGTTTTCTTTGGGGACTGTTTTGCCTCATAACACACTGAATGAATGGCTTATGCTGGAATTTTAGGCTTAGAACGTCTTAGAACTATCGAAAAACAATGTCTCAGACATCAGGCAGCGTATTCATAACCATTTTGTCTACTAGTTTTCTGTGAGGGAGTTTTTAGAGGTGGACATCTGGTTCCTATCACCACCACTGTGAACAATTCCAAGTCCAGTAATGCTAACTCCTCTCTCTTACCTAAGCTTCAAGTCCTAAAGAAGTTATTCAAATTCAAATACACAGATTATAATGTTGGTACAGTTTTTCTCCCCAGTGTTAAATTTTAGAGGACTGTCTTCTTCTCTTATGACACAGTAGATTGTGAATTTGGAAACATTGGATTATGAAGAAGAACGAAGGAGAAATACTCCTGATGATTTGAGCTAATAAAGGAAATTTATGTGGGAGAGAGGCATGTAGGGGGCTAAAGACACCCTAAACCTGGCCCTGGTTATTTATAGGACAGGCAGATTGTTAAGAGCTTATTTAAGGTGAGCTGGTAGGGTGCACTACTGATAGCCTTCTGATGCTTTTGAGACTTCCAGCTTGTGTCAGAAAGAAAAATCCAGCTTTGAAAACAGTGACACAGCACAGAAATTACATCAGCATTTAATTTCCAGACTTGCCTTGGATGGTGTACACCTGTTGTAAACTTTGAGTAAACCTGTCTAACTTTTTCTTTAGTTTGGTTTTGACGTGCGAAACTCCACCTGAATTCAGGCAGCAAACAGCTGAACCGCGCTAATCCACAAGGGAATTCAACACCAGAGCATGTTTTTTTTTTTCCACTGCACATTTTCTCTGTACTGTCCGCACAAAATGCTGCTTTAACATTTCACTCTATAAAAACTCTCACAAACGTGAGTGTTTGATTATTGATCAGAAGTTTTGCAGCGCTGGTTCCTGCACTGCGAGCTGCTGTAAAAAAAAATGAAAAGAAAAGCAATAAAATAATGATATGCATTTGATTATAGATTGTGGAGCAAATGCCAAGCATAACTGACCATCAGCCATTTTAGTTAGTAGCCTATTTATATAGAAACAATATGTAACGAGGCAGAATAACTCAGACGCTCGCGGTTAAAAGAGAGAGTGAGGCTTTAATGTTAGAGTCGAAGCAATACCTCGCAAGGAACTAGACTAAAAGCCCGGGCTTTATACTAAACTAATTATACGAAAACAGGTGAAACCAGTTAATACTCCGGTGACAGAGAGCGGTGATTGGAGCGAGATGGAGGACTGAGAATCATGTGATTCCCCTGGGGGTTCTGGGAAATGGAGTCCCTAGAGACCTCAGAGCCCGAAGGATGCGTGACACAATATGTTTTGCCCCACCACTTTTGGAGGTGTGGTGCCACCCCTGTGTCCTATGCTGTCAGATTATGTCCAGTAAAAAAAGTGTTACCAAAACATCTTCTGATTCTTTATCACGTTATCATGCACCAAAAATAATATTAACCAACTATATGTTTCACCTCCCCCTCCCACTATCCTCACCTACTGTTGAGCAAAAATACTCAGCTAGCTCAGAGCCCCTCCCCTCCAGATAAAAAATGCAGTTAGCATCTAACCAGAAGTGAAAAATGGAGTATTATTTACAGACAAAAGCAAGAAAATTAAGTACCATATTAAGTGATTCCATGTCTTACAATATGTACAGTCATGTACAGTGGAACATACAATATACAAATATTACATATGTAAAAATGTGAATAAATACACAGAGGTAAACTGGGTGAAGTAGGGTACAGACAGTGCAAATGTATAGTTGTATGTACAGGATGAGCTGCATGTGTAAATTAGGTTAAGTATGCAGAGTATAAAGTATAGTAGGTCATATCTACAGAAACAGACTGTGCAAATATGAACAGTGCAAATTACATCAAGTACTGTAAACACTGCAGTAATGAACGTTTGTGTGTTGGTGTGGAGTTCAGCAGGGTCACAGCCTCAGGGAACAAGCTCTTCCTGGGCCTACTGGTGGGAGCGGAGGCTCCTGTAACGCCTGCCAGATGGGAGGAGCTCCATGGTTAAGATGAGGGACGACCTTAATGATTCTCACTCTATCCAGGCAGCGCTTGTGATAAACATTCTCAGTGGAGGGTAACTGGGCGCCGGTGATGTGCTGGGAAATTTTCATCACCCACTGGATTCAGGAGTGTCGCTAAGCCAGTCACTCTAAGTATTATTTAGATTGTTCATTATAATTAAAATCATCAACAGATTTTTATTGTTATTTATTCAACCGTGCCAGCATGTCTCCAAATTCACAATAGCTATACTGCGATAGGTGCAAACTGGGGGCCCTGCAGCTGCTACTGTAATGCAGTGCTGTCTGGACAGACATTTTTTAACATAACAACAGGAAAGGGCAGTCCTCTGCTGTCCAGATTTGGGGTAAAGTGTAGCACCAGCTTAGCCAATCATATCAGATCTGAGGGAGGGGCTCTGGTGGTATGCACTCTGCGAACAGAGGAAAACATCCTCCTGTGGGATCATGCCCCAGACCCTCTTAGTAGAGGCTTAGCCACATCCATACATCTCTAGTGCTTTACAGTGTGATGCGGAGCAGTTGCCATAACACACTGAGATGCAGTTTGTGAGTGTGCTCTCAGTGTTACAGTAGCGGTAGAAATCTACCAGTATCCACCTGGAACACAGGTGAGCTTTCTTAGGGCTCCATAGGAAGTAAAGATAGATGAGTTTAGGGACCAGGTGAGATCATATGAGATGTAGATGGCAAGGAACTCTACTGCAGCTCCGTTCATGTAGACAGAGGTGTGTGCAGGGTTCCTCACCCACCTAAAGTCCACGATGATCTCCTTGGACTTCTGGGTGTTAAGTGCCAGGTACACTATGCAGCCAGGTGCTGAACCTCATTCCTGTAGGCGATCTAGTCATCATCTCTGATTAGACCTGTACTGTAATACTGTAACAGAACTCAACAGAACTGATGGTCTTGTTAACTCTGCTGTGCATACATACATACATACATACATACATTAAAGTTATTACTGAGCTTTAGCTTCATGTATCCAATGTATCATATGAAATGGCATCATAGTCTGGTAGAGTATTTCTCACAGATAAAAATGTTGTTTACATGTTTGGAATTATGTTGTTTCTTTTTCGCAGGTGTAGCTGAAAGTGAACAAAAATAAGTTTATGACTGTCTTACTGTTTTAAATGGGTGAAAAACTCAATGATGAATCACCACCTCATAGAAGAAGTGTTAAAGTATATATTTAGCATCACTAAAGCATTACGTCTTCATGAGTTCATGATTTGTTGCTATCAGTGTAAAGTGGTGAAATATTCCTTCTTTTCAACATTTTGTTCATGATAAAATAATTAGGGAAAGACATTAATTAAGTCATTTTGTTTTTATTTAAACTTCAGTTACATTTCCTCCTCTTGGAGCACAAAATGATTAGGAAACACTGATAATTGAAAAGGAGTTCAGTCACACAGAGCAGTTACACAAATGTTGGATAACAAGTTTAATACTTGGATAAAAGTTTAATGGGTGCAAATAAAATTCATAGTTCAGCTCAAGCTGGGAGGATGAAGGCTGGCAGAATGCCTCTGAGACAAACCTATTCAACCCACAGTTTAGCCCTGCCCACTCGTTATAAACAGTGTTTCAGCCTTTTTAAATGAAGTACAATAGAGCTCAGCCAATCACAACAGAACTTATTTACATAATAATAAAAATAATATAAGTACATAAAACCACACTAATATTATAAGTGGACCTCAGGGGTCAAATACAACACAAGAAAAATGTAGGATTTGGGCCTTCTGGAGAGAGAGAGAGAGAGAGAGAGAGAGAGAAAGAGAGAGAGAGAGAGAGAGATAAAGATCAATGCTTCCTGAGCTTTGCTAAAGGCCACACATATTTGACGAATCATTGCCTAGCACAAGTGTTAGCTTTAGCATTGGCTCCAGTTGTAGCTCATCTGAAGGTGCGGGCCCCATTACTTAAACCTCCATACATTAACCTCTACTGCTTTCCTTCACAGTGCCTGCTTTCCCTAGTTTGGTTAATGTTGTGTGATTTTAATTTTTTTTGTCTTTTAAAATGCCTACAGCTGCATGTTTTCAATTCTGAGATGTAAATGCTGCCACCTAGTGTAAGTGTACAGATCAACAAGGGTTACTTGTAAAGTGAAGGTTTCTACCCGAAATACTGCTATATAAAGATATGTGACCCTGGCAACTACTAGAACCTGGAATACCCCATGCTTTATGTCAGTACAGGCTGTGTTAGATTGTGGAGTTCACCACAGTGCAAAAAACAAATAACATTAAAATAAGTGAGTACAGATGAAATAGCAGTGTTGGAATGAAAGACACAATGTAGAATAGATCCTCACTGTGAAATCTGAATACTAGTGTGAATTCAGGAAAAATGGGATGTCTGGTAAAGTAACAAATACCACACTGCTACACTGCTCTTTGAGTGATATGTGTCAGTGTATCTACCATGAATCAAATATAACTATCATGAAGAATTACCTCAAGAGTGCCTGCCATTCAAGATTTGTTTTCATTGCTCTGGCGTCAGTGTTTAGGGCATGATTTGAACTACTGGTACATCTACCAAAAACTGACCCCCTTTTGCCCAGTTGTTTTATTTTACACTTGTATGAACTTGGTTGGATGTTTTATAAAAACAATTCAAATTCAACAGAACTAAAGTATGGGAAGAGAAAAACAGAAAGCTTTCCTGACCTTTGAGATTTCTAAAGTGCTTTCTAACTGAGAAAATCTAAATCTAAATGAAAATGTAACGAGTAAAATGTATTTATGAAAATAAAATCTAATGTATGCTTCTTGCTGGGAAAGGTATTTCAGTAAACATACAAGTTTTCAGTTACAGTAATACTTTAGTACAAATCTTCAAAAAAATAAACTGAAATAAAAAATAATTACTACTACTGTAATGAAGTATAATGACCTAAATATTTTTTCCCCCGTGCTCACCCACCTCTGTGTATGAGGCTATTCTATGTTACAAATACGTATAGTGGAGTCATAAGCCCTAAGTCCTGCATAGAGCGGTTCAGTGAATGTAGTGTAGAATGTGTGCAGGTGTGTCAGTGTGTCAGAGACGTCGTAGAAGGACAGAATGCCGGCCGGACAGTCCACATACACTCCCATTATCTTAGAGCGGGAAGGACGGGTAGATATGGTGGTGGTCTTATTATTATGCAAGGCGACATAACGTCCTTTATCGAATAAAAGACTCCAAGACTTGTTGTTGTATCCAAACTTAGAGTGACCGTAGCGTCCTTTCCTTTCCATTGATTTATACGCTACTGCCACAGCAGCCTCCTTCCCGCTCCACTCAGCCTCCCAGTAACAGCGTCCAGTCAGACTCTCCTTAGACAACACCTGCTCCCACTGATCAAATCGGTCCGGATGATTAGGATACCCATTATCATAGTCTTTCGTATGTTTCACTCTGTTCCCGTCAGACAGAACGACACATGTGTCTGCTGTGTTTGGGTCCAGTGTGAGCTCATAGGCATCTGCACACAAGAAGAGAGATTAGAGAGATAATGGCTTCAAAAGAAATAATGTGCATGTAGTCAGCTTTGCTCTTTCTCTGTGACCCACAGTTGTTGTTTTTTTTTTCAGTTTGTCTTTCATTTACAGCTGCAACTATTGAATATTTCCATTTTTCAAATTTCTGTTGAATAGTATCTCAAACTCAGAACTCAGCTGTGTCTGTCTTATCACCCGGTGCAGCTTTAACATGTTCCTCTCTGCTCCAGGTGGCCAGCTCGCTGTTGGTTATTCTCAAAATGCAGCAAACATCATAGTATCTATTAAACCCAATAATATCACCTCAAATCAGAGCATTAATACAGACAGTTAGGTGCAGAGACATGAGGGTTCTACCTCTGAATGCTGCAGATTTGACTGGAAAGGATCATTTTACTGACAAGAAATAAGCCTCTCCATAAAGCACTGTTTCTGCGTGAGCTGCACAAACAATACTTCATTTCCCATCAGACTGAAAAACCCTAATCAGGGAAGCATGTGCTTTAATAGAAACAGCTCAAAATTCCAGTTATTCAAATTATTTAAATCTGTAAATGACTGACATTATCTAATTTTACTGATTATTCATTGCAGAACAAACTTTTTTGAAAAAAAAAAGAAATACAGAGAGTAAGTGTGTGTGTGTGTGTGAGTGTGTGTGTGACTGTGTGAGTGAGTGTGTGTGTGTGTTTGTGTGTGAGTGTGTGTGTGTGTGAGTGTGTGTGTGTGTGTGTGTGTGTGTGTGTGTGTGTGTACTTACATTTCTTCAGTCCTGGTTCGATTCTGTTCTCACCTCCATGTTCCACTCTAAACACACACACACACACACACACACGTGTTTATTTATTCATTTCAGTGCTCTCACCCTCCCCTCTCTCTCTCTCTCTCTCTCTCTCTCTCTCTCTCTCTCTCTCTCACTGTATGTCTCAATTAGTCGTTAACAAATGATAGTAATGATAACGGATAATTTATACATTATTGGGACAGAAAAACTCATCACTAATTAACATCTTATTGGAGTCTGTAATACAAATCATATTCATGTCAAATAAAATCTTAATTAATGTTACTTAATCATTCATCAAAAACAGAAATGAAAAAACATTAACACAACATAGAATTAAAATGATTAATTAAATCATAAAGTAGCTTTTAACTACAGCCTCGTTAACATTTAGTAATGGCTTAAATATTATTTAAAATAACTAAAATAAATAGCTTAAATAGTAGTAATTTTAAATGTATGAGAATTACACACAGCGATAATTAACGGATGTGTTTATATAATACTTATTATGTGCATTTGTTAAGTATTGCTAATTGTAAACATGTTATTACCTTTACAATAGGAGTCACAAAGACAAATAATTAAGGCTGATATATATTTAAATAATGCTTTTTAAACACTATCAGACATTTAAATGTCATATAAAGAATACATGTTTTAAACTTTCTCCAATTGGGACACCATGAGAATAAAGCAATGCTAATTAACCTTAAGAAACATCTTTATGCAGTTTTGTGCATTTTTAAATATTATTCAGGAACTATTTTCTAAATTTACAATAAGGATTGTGTAGCACATTAATTAATGGTTGACTGTCACTGAATCATGCTTACTATGAGCTCTTGTGTATTTAAGGAGTGTTACTAAACTTTACCATAATGACATTTATAGGGTTTTTAAGGGTTAATTAATTCATCAATTCATGCCTCACATTAAAATAAATACATTCTTAAATTTAATGTTAATGAGTAATGGTTAAATAAGATCAAGTAATATATCTAATTTATATCTAAAGTATATACTGGTTATGTAATTTTTTTAAGCACTCTTGCACTTATACAGAGCTTCTTGAGAGATACGTACAGTCAACTTTATAATAAGGGCCACAGAAAATATTAAATAATTATTAATATTGGTTAAGTAATACATTCAAAGAGAATTAATGAGGGTTTATTTTATACAATATTGAAACTAATATGTTAGAAGTACAGAAATGTGCTCACATCTACTTGAAGAGAACAGAAAAAGCATCTACATGTGGACCATGGAGTCTGACCACACATCTCAGCATACAACAAGAACTGGATGGACAGTAAATGGGCAGTCATTGCCTTATACCAGTGGTTCCCAGCCCTGGTCCTGGAGTATCTTCTGTCCTGCACACTGTAGAGCAGCTTTTCTCAATCCTGGTCCTGGAGACCCACTGTGCTGCGTATTTTACTATTCTCCTTTAACACACACACCTCAACGCACTAAGGGACTCTTAATAAGCTGATTAGTCGGATCAGCCGTGTTGGTGTATTAGGTGTTAAAGGTTATTTTGTTTTATTTCATGTAAATCTGCATCAAGTTAAACACTTCATAATCTATGATACACAGTACATATTCTAAAATAGTGTTAAAAGGAGTTAAAGTTAGTTAAAAAGTGGTAAAATCCAATGAGGAGTCACTTGGTTGAAAAAGTGCTGTCTCTGTAAGAGATATATGATTTGCGGGTTTGCGCCTTCTCAATGCAGGAGTTTCTACATTGTGGCTTCGCAGAAAAAAAGAACTGTTTTTATCTTTTACACCCAGGTATGTTTCTCTGCCACGTAGTTTTGTTCTTTGTCCAGTAGGGGGTAGCGTTGAAAACAAAATGTTGCTCTTCATGTATTTTGTATTGGTAGAAAATGGCAGGAGCCTTTGCAATGCAATTACTCTGTAGTACTGAGCAATATGAAGCATATTCCAGCATAGCTTGTTAAAGAAAGTTTATTATTTATATGTTTTGTAGGATTTTGATTCTAAATTCATATACTGCAATGCACAAGCAATCTAAGTATTAATGTTGCCCATTGTGTGATAATATTTGTACTTCATACTAGCCCTTTAAATGTTGTACGCATTTCATTCATTATTTTTTCCATGTAAATTTCTCCTGGAAAAGACTACATTTTATAAGCATATATTTCTTTAGTCCACATTAAGAGCTGAAAAGAGGGGTTCCTACTTTGTGCTTTCTCACTGACACTGAACTGTTTTGTGTTTTACAGCTCGGAGCTGTAAAATAAATGAAAGAGGCAACAGTTCCAACTCCAGCACAGTTTTTCTCACACACAGTGATAGCCAGGGCTTCCAGTCTGGTGGTTTAAGCAGTGTTATGATTACCTTGGCAGCAGGGAAAACACTAGTAATTGCAGGGCTCCATGACCAGGGCCGAGAAACACTGTTGTAGAGTTTTCCTGTTCTAACGCACCAACTCAGGATGGGCTGTTAACGAGCTGACTTTGGTTCTCTGAAAGCATCTTAGCACATAGACGACTCTTAAATGGTAGAGTGAGCATCACACTGATCACTCTCTCTAACAGCTGATTATTAAGTCTCATTAAATAACACATTAATAAACTACTAAATAATATCCAAGATAAGACGCTAGTTATCATTACTGTCACTGATAATTAATTGGGACAATACTTAACCATTTATTAATAATTGTTTACTACTTAAATTCTGAAATCATTAGTTCATTATTAAGGCATTAATTAACCATTTAGTAAGGCTTACTACTGTCTTAAGTGCTGTTACTCTCTCTCTCTCTCTATTAGACTGCTGACACTTTGCATCATTGTGTGTTTTCATCGGATCAGACTTAAGTCAATTGCATGTAAAGCAGTGTAAACACACCCAGGACACATTCAACCATGCACACACACACACACACACACACACACACACACACACACACACACACACACACACACACAGCTTTATTCGGTTTTCTTAATGATATCGTTTAATTTAACTCTTGATCTCATTTGACTCATTTTCTGTGTTGAAGATGAAAAGGGATAAATTCACTGTTGGATCATCTGCTGCTCCTCCCTTCATACTTAGAGATTATGTTCAGATTATTTAGAGCAGAGAAAAACTAATCAGTCTGACTGATCAACTGATTGACTTCACATACATAAAACAAAGAGATCAATTCACTCCCCTCTAGATCTTATTCGCACTCACACACTTACACAGGTACACACACACCCACACCCACACACACACACACACAGTGGTTCGGTGTCTCTATTGTATGAAAAAGAAGAGGCAAATAAATCTCACAGTGTTGTTGTTCAGGAACTAACAATGATATGTGCTGTCTCTCTCTCTCTCTTTACCTCTTTAGAGAAACTGTGTCTCCTTTTTTCTTTATTTTTCATTACATCCATTTCTGTTTTCATATGATTGTACTAATGTAGGCCAACAGGTAGCAGCGCCACCAGAAATGCACAATGCAGATTCACCATCAAAGAAGAAAAGTCCAGTCCCAACAGCACATTCACAGTCCTGCAGTCCACAACGGCATTTGCATGTGAGGACCACAAGGCGACAGGGTGGGGACCCCATCCATGTGGGCAAAACAGAGTGGCCTGTTACCCAAAATTCATTGAGATACAGGTGAGGACCAATCAGAGTAGACAGTTTTGTTTACAGCTGTCTGGCCATCATGGCAGAGAGGAAGATATTCAGATACATTTGGTTATTAATATAACTTTTCACTGAGCTCCATTATGTTTGTAATCTGAACTGAGTTACAGTAGATGAACAAATGAGCTCTTTTAAAAACACGAGAATGACCAGCATGAAGAACCTGCATGTTAAACAAGTCTGTTCCAAATGCACGTTTAAACCAAACACCCTCAACGTCTCCTGCCTTAGAGTTCTGCACACTGTTTACATCACCAAAGAGTGGAGTCTGAGGTGGACCGAGAGAGAGAGAGAGAGATACAGTGAGAGAGATGCAGAGTAAGAGACGCACAGAGATGCAGAAAGCTACAGAGAGTGATACAGAGAGATACAGAGAGATACAAAAAGAAAGGACAATACTACAAAGAAAACATATCAAATGTTGAAACTGAGAAGTTTTATTGTTAAATATATGCCCATTTTGAATTTAGGTAGACCAACAAGGTAGAAGTGTAGAAGTGAACAGTGATTGGATGCAGTGTTTCAAAACTCCAACAGCACTGGAGTCTGCTTGGTCCTGATACACAATCCGTCACAATTTTTTTCTGACATCTGATATGTTGTAACAGGGAAATACACACACACACACACACACACACACACACACACATCATCTAAACCGGTTATCCTTCTGGGTCACGGTGGGGTGCTGGAGCCTATCCCAGCTGAATTATTATTTATTTAACTGATTTTTGTTATTTTGCCCAGCTACTGCTTAGTTAAGATGTCTGGTTTTATTTTAGGTCTGTTTTTCTGACGGTAATCCTGGTCCTGTGGCAAAGGACTCTGTTCTTTGAAGAACCATGAATGAAGTCAACACTCCTGAGGGTATTTGAAAGAAAGAAAGGCCGTCACCTAAGATGCATAGACAGATGGCATGAGTCGTTCTTAATCTGTCCCGATTTGTCATTGTAATAACACACAGAAGTAGATTCTGTCAAAACACTCCTTTAGGGCAGGGGTGGGGAACTGAGGGATGGAGTCCAGCACAGTTTGGGGTTTTCCTGCTCTAACACACCAACTAAACCTGGTAACTAATTGATGAATTAAATCTGGGATGTCTGAACAGGAAAATTACACAACTGCAGAAATCCGGCCCTCCAAGACCAGAGTAACCCACCCCTGATTTAGGGCACTTTCACACTTGGCAGATCTGGTTCAATGGAACTGATCCCTGGCTTGATAACCTGTTTTAGTGCCGTTCATTAATCCAAGAGAGAAAACTGCTATTCAAAACCTGGAGCACACCAAATAAGCAGATTCCATGAAGTGGCTGATCTCTGCCCACTCCATGCTGGCT